CTGTGCCCGTCTCAATCCCAATCCAGCAAATCAGCATTCCTTACTCCTCTGCCTCCACCCTTGCCCTCTGTTTTGTTGCTCTGGTGATTCCACACACCTCTTCTCATAGCTGCAGATTGGGTAACAAAAAGCTTCTTACGACTAGTTCCACTCTGTGGTTTGGCCTTTTCTGTACAAGAGCAATGAAAGAGAAGCTCACACCAAAAAGGAATACTGCCACCATTTCTCTTAAATTATTGAAGTTGATGTTGTTCTGGGACTGCTTTTGGATCTCTCCGTGATTGACGGGTGATTTGACTACTTTTTAAGGTATGAGAAGAAAACCTGAGGAATGGCACACTAAGCTTGTCCTTGTAAGAAAGCTTGTGCCTTTATCTTTTGAAGAAACCTATTTCTATTCAAAAGTAACACAAATAAATCACGAAGAAACAATTTCCTAATCTTCTGTTACATCTTTGAAAGGGCAAAATCTGTTCTGAACGTCTCATCATAAATATGATTTTAGTCGTTCTCTTTGGAGTGGGGAGGAATGTTGGGTTTTTGTTTGTTTTGGTTTTTTCTTTGTTTGTTTCTGTGGCTCTTGTCAGTTGGTACATACTATTTTACCATAGTTTGTCCGTTCCCCTCAGGGTTTACGCTGTAGAAAAGATCTTGCTGCACCAGACTATGCTCTGATACCGGTGATTTGCTTTGACCACCCATTGGATAAAAAACTTTCCTATGAGGAAATGGTTATCATAATGCTGTGTTCCCCAAGCTGTTTAGTTTATGGAGTTTGCTTTACCCCATAATCTTGCTAAGTGCTTCAGTCTGGCTTTCTTTATAAACAGGAGTTTAGGTTAGCATTGGAGCTCTCCTCTATTCCAACTTTCCAGGAGTCTTGGCACTTCAGATTTAAAAATGTATGGGAGGTGCCCCACTGTGTGCTCATATTGTGCCTAGTTCCATGAGCCTTAACCTCACCTAGGAGCTCGTGTACTGCTGCAATCCCATAGAAATGAGATTCTTGACTTAAAAACAACCCTCACGTGGTAGAGCCCTGCCTGGCTGAGGGGTTGCTTTTCTGCCAGGGATTTGTAAAAGGCCCCTCTCACCCGCTTTAAGGAGGGAAGAAGGACCAAAATATGTTCACAGTTCTATTTGGGAAGCTGGGCTCAGTCCCAGTATTTGAAATGCACTCGACTGCCATAACACTTCTGCCATAACACACCTGTGAAAACATTCAAGCATAGCTCTGCCACGAGCTAGCAGGTGCCTGCTGATCCCAAACTGGTGTGTACAAACAGCCCTGGGGGACTGAGTGTTTGAGCAGGGGGGCAATGCTACACTGAAAAACACAGTACTGCTTTTGGGAGCTGTGCTGCAGTGCAGCAGGTAATGCTGGCAAATCTATTGGAAAATGTCAGTTTTGTGCCATGTTGGAGAGGAAGACTTGCCCTGGGTAGAGGAAGATTGGGTCAGAGAGCACCTAAGGAACCTCGATACCCACAAATCCATGGGCCCTGATGGGAAGCACCCCAGAGTGCTGCGGGAGCTGGCAGATGCCATAGCTAAGCCGCTCTCCATCATCTTTGAAAGATCCTGGAGAACGGGGGAGGTGCCGGAAGACTGGAAGAAGGCCAATGTCACGCCAGTCTTCAAAAAAGGCAAGAAGGAGGACCCAGGCAACTACAGGCCAGTCAGCCTCACCTCCATCCCCGGAAAAGTGATGGAACGGCTCATACTGGCTGTTGTCTCCAGGCACAAGAAGGTGCTCAAGAGTAGTCAGCATGGATTCACCAAGGGAAAATCTTGCCTGACTAACCTGATAGCCTTCTATGATGAAATGACGGGCTGGATAGACGAGGGGAGAGCGGTGGATGTCGTCTATCTCGACTTCACCAAGTTGTGGCATGTTGCATAATGGGGTCCACCAGAACCTGTCTACAAAATAAAGATAATTGCCCTTTCTTGGAGAGAGAGTGAGAGAATGGGATGTTACTAGCTTGTTACTTGGGATGTTACTACCAGAAGGCCGTTTTGGCCTCTAGGTGGCATTTCTCAGCTAGGTTTGTCTTGCGGCTTCAACCAGCCCTAAAAGCCTGTTTCTCAATCTATGGGCACCTTTCAAGGGAAGGGTTACTTGTATCCCTGTGCCCTGGGAGAACAGTCAGGGTAAGAGGTGAATAACACCCACCAGCAGGTGCTACAGAAACAAGAGGCACTGGAAGTTCAAGTCTGCTGGATAGAAAGCAACAAAAAAGCAAAGGTTTTTCTTCCCCTCACGTGTGGTTACTCCAACAAGAGTAAACTGTAGGTTTGCTTCCACAGGGGTGAGTGGTTTCCCAGCGTCGAGCATGCTGAAAGAAGCATTGCATCATGCTGAAGTTGGTTTGACTTGGTACTCCCCGTGTAATTAGGTCAGTTCCCAACATTTCTTATGGGAGTCAGGCTAGCTTCTGTTTTCCAAAACAGAAGTAAACCCGCATTGTTGCTGTGGTGGAGCCTGATGTCAGCATGTCTCTACCCTGGCCATTACTGAGAAGAAACCTTGCTTCATCCATAGACTCTTCTGTCCCTGACCAAACCTCCTCCTCTTGGCTCATTTTCTCCAGCAAGGTTCTCCCATTTAAGCCCTATCTTGCATTTTCAGTGCAAACCCATTAGATCCCTTTGTGCTCCACTGCCTGTGAATTATTTGCAATGCTTCCTCTTCACAGCCTGCATCTTTTGGAGGTCAGGGATAGGGCACAGAAAACAAAATTGCCATTGCCAAATGTTTCTTTCAAGTTGACTCAATTTGACCCAAGTATCTTGGGTCAAATGCAGTTGCAATCTGCCACTGTTAGTGGTAATTCAATAAGAGCTATGGGAGGCTTCAAAGAATTTCTTAGAGTGCTGTTGTCAAACTCTTTATCTCTGTAGTGCTGCTTTTCTGGCTTTTTCTTGCTTCACTGCCTCCGCTTGCTGATTGGAGGCATTTCTTGGTTTGAGGAGTGGTGGGAGAGATAAAGGAGATACCGTCTACAGCTTTTGCTAGAGAAACAGGAAAGAGAGAGAGGAAGAAATGTGCTTTTTGTTAGTTCTAGGTGGAGTTTAAGACGCCAAGGACACCAGAGAGATTGCAAAGGGTACAGAAGCCCTGAGGGGCTGTTACAGTCAAAGAAGTGTCTTGTGGTCTTGTCCTTTGTTGGGCTGATGGGGAGCTCTTGTCCAGCTACAGCTCATGGCCAGGAAGGAAAACGATGGCTTGGTTATAACTGCTTGAAACAGGTAAGAGGAGCCACTGATGAAAAAGCAGGTCCTGCAGAGAGGCATGGAGCAAGTTTAAGTCAAGCCTGAGAGGGGAATATAGAAAGTTTCAGAGGGGAGGATAACATCAGCATGTCGCTGGCATGTGACTCAGCGACACCCATGGAAGCTCACTACCTTTGCACCCTTAAAAACAGCAAGACACACCGTGCCACCACACTGCTCAAATGCAGCCCTTTATGAAACTTCATATGTGGCATCTTTTGCCTCTGTAGATCTTGTGCATACGTTACTCGGATCTGCTGACAGTAGTGATCTCCCAGCTCTGGTATGACTTCCCACACCTCCTAGCCCTGCAGAGCCAAATATGGGATGAGTGGGCTGGGATACGGCCCTTGCGAGAACTGCTTACCAAGTTTCGCTAACGCTTGTGCAAACTTTTGGAAAGTGCCCACAGGTGTAAGCGATGGTGCAACTTGTCATTGCCATGGGAAAAGGAAAGCAGCTTGTTTGTCTCAGAGCCCAGAAGAAGCTTGCTGAGCTGGCGATGAGAAATAAAGAGGCATCTCTCTACTTGCAACAGGGCACGTTTGGGGTGTTTCTGTAACCGGATTGCACATGTTTTTCTGTCTTAATACTATTCGTCTGGCACTATAGCCACAGCCTCCCTTATGCTTTGAGTTTGCTGGCAAATGCATTTTGTCTTAGCCTGGCTTTCTCTATAGGTGTGTCGTTATGACCATGGGCGGATTCCTGGTGAGATTACTGTATTTTTGCACTAAATCGTCAAGCGTATACAATTCTGTTTTGCTGCCTGCTATTAGGGAGGTGAGGTCTGGCATTTTGGCAGTGCTTTGTAATGACACCTCATGAAAAACCAGTTTATTCCCTTGCAACAAATGGGTGTAGTGATTTTACGCCCTTCTACTCATCGCAGCTCTGCTCAGGCTCTACTGAGGCTTTGATTTTCTGTCACCTTGGCAAACACCCCAAGGATTGATAGATTTGTGACCTTCCTTCTACCCTTGCTGCAAGGATGAGGGCTAGCAAGCTACCCAGGAGGAAGTGTCATCCAAAGGACTGGAAATGCTCCAGTGTAGTTTAGAGCTCCTGAGAGGTGTTGAGTCATATTTCACAGCTAGAAAAGACTCTGACTTTTAGAATATGTTGTAACAACTGTTCAAATCCAAACCATGCCGGCCAGGGAGATCGCGTGCCTCGCCGGGCGGAAGTCCCTCGCCGGGTCACCGCGCTGCCGGGTGCACCCGGGCGGCTCCCTGGCGGCGCCACTTGAGCAGCTTCCTCCCTCCCGGCCGGCACCGCTTCCAAAGGTGCGGGAGCCGCAGGGCTGCGGGAGCTGCTCTCCGGGGGTGGTAGCAGCGTCCCCCGGCAGCAGGGAGCTTCCAGCAGGCTGGTTTTTCCCTATCGAGAAGCACAGCACAGGTGTAACCGCAGCTCCCAGCCAGCCAGACCTGCTAGCCTGATGGATAATGCTCGCTGTCAGCTTTTAGGCAGCCGCCCTGTATGGCCCAGCTGCTGGGGTTTGGCTAAGCCAGCCCTTCTGGGAGAGCTTCTACAAGAAGTGGAGAACTACTCTGCTCATGTTCCAGAGCACTGGCACTGTTTGGTGCCCACTGCTGCTCCACAGAAAACCCCAAACCCAATCTCCTGTTTCCAGTTGGAAAGAGCCTAGTTTGAGTGTTG